TCCAGTGGCGATTAAATACCACCAAAAGGAAGCTCTATGTGTGTGGAAAAAAAATGATAAAAATGTCATATGGGTACAGTGTTGCATGACCGCGCAATTGTCATTCAAAGTGTAACAGCGCTGAAAGCTGAAAATTGGCCTGCGCAGCAAGGGGGTAAAAGTGCCTGATAGGCAACAGGTTAATTAGATGTCAAGAGACCTTATCTTGTGCTGCTGCCAGAAAGAAGTTGGGGGTGGAGCTGAGAAGCAGAAAGTGCAGAGTTTGGAGGAGGACCAGAGGAGGGCTGGAGTCACCTGCCAGAGTGTGCTGAGACCAGGGGAGGTGGAGGTGAGAGGGCACTGTGGCTGCACAGAGAAGTGCAGGATCTATAGGACGAGTTCTCTCCTCCTCTCTGCTGCTGACCTGCTAAGATGGTGGAGGGGAAAAAAGACAAGCCACTCTGCACAGAAAAGGGGGAGAAGAGACGAGTCTCTCTGTGGCTGCACAGAGAAGGGTAGGATCTGGCAGAGGAGTTTTGTCCTCTCTGCTGCTGGGACTGGAGAAGGGGGGGGGGAGAACAAGTCTCTCAGTGGCTGCACAACGAAGCACAGGATCTGGCAGAGGAATTCTGTCCTCCTGTCTGCTGCTGACTGCTAAGACAAGGTGGGGGCAGAGATGAGGAAGGTGCCGCAGCTACAGGAGAGATGCGAGGGCCGCAGGACATGTCCTGGCTGGCTGCATTCAGCCCATGGGCCTTGTGTTTGACACATGTGCACTAAAGCATTCATTTTGTGTAGAGGGAAATATAACTGGGTGATCCTGGCCTCATCAGTCCCTCCCAACTTCTTTATGTCCCCACTGCAGCTTGAGATTGTGTAGACCAGCTGGTGTCCTCTACTTAGCATGCTCCAATTTCAGTTCCTTTCTAAGCTCTTCATCTCCTCCTTTTTCTTATCTGTACAACCCACATAACTATAGAGTCACACGTGGGTGTATACACAGTGGTAAATGACACTCCTCTCCCTCCATGTCTTCCAACTGCTAAACACTGTGGGGGCAGAATATAGTATGCTGATTGATTACATTCACTTACCCTCCAGAGGATTTACCCCCCCCCCCCCCCCCCCCTTCCTGACCAGTCCATTTTTTGCAATACAGTGCTGTGTTACTTTAACTGACAATTACGTGGCCATGCAACGCTGTGAATGAGTGAAATTTATCAAATTTTTTCCCCACAAACAAAGGTTTCTTTTGATTGTATTTGATCATCTCTGCATTTTTATTTTTTGCACTATAAACAAAAAAAGTTCGACAGTTTTGAAAAAATAAACAATATTTTAGACTGTTTGCTAAAAAACATCAAGTAAAAAAAGTTAAAAAATAAAATTTCTTTATAAATTTAGACCAAAATGTATTCTGCTACATGTCTTTGCTAAAAAAAATCCCAATAAGTGTATAACAATTGGTTTACGTGAAAGTTATAGCGCCTATGAATGGCGGTATATATACTGGAGTTTTCATTTATTTTTTATATACTAGTAATGGCAGCGTTATATTTATAACATTTGTATCATGTTTTTTTCTGGATTTTTTGGTTACTATCCTGTCTCTAGCATTTAAAATTCACCTATAATAAAAAAAATATAGATCACCTATAATAAAAAAATATAGATCCTTCATTTCCTTGTAAGTGGGCAAACTTAAATCTGCAGGGGATCAATTAACAGAAAATTTCCTATCAAATACTTACCGTAATTTCCTTTCCTGATGGACTCCATGGCAGCATACATATGGGTTAGTCCCACCCTCTCTTCTCCTATAGGACCCTACTCCCGTAAATCTTTGCTCCTCGCCAGAGTCCGTGTTTCATAACTTGCACACTCATAGCATTGGGAGGGTACTCCTGCTGCCATGGAGTCCATCAGGAAAGGAAAATTATGGTAAGTATTTTAAAGGAAATTTTCCGTTTTCCTGACAGACTCCATGGGAAATAACTAGCCATACACACACGGGTGGGCAGATGCTGAAAGACTTTAATTTGCCCCGTCGACCGACAGGACTTTCCCACCAAAATTAACAGAGGATAAGGAGGCAGGCTCTACACAGTAATGAGCCATAAAAGTGTTCATTGAGGACCATGAGGCCACTCTGCAGATCATCTCAGGGGCGACATGCCGGGAAGCCGCCAAGCACATAGCTACACTTCTGGTTGAGTGTGCGGTCACTGCCTCCAGAGGCGCCAAGTCCTTAGCTCTGTAGGCCATTTGGATGGCCACCATTGACCTAAGAGATGACTGGTCTCTTTTACTCTTCCCGTGGAAATGGATGAATAGACGGTCTGACCTACGGAAGGATGCTGTGACCTGCAAGTATAGCCTTAAGGTTTCACCTACGTCCAGGGGGTGAGTGTCATTGACTCCCGAGGCTCTAAATGTTGGCAGGACAATCTCTTGGTTCTCATGGAAGACCGAGGTCACTTTAGGATTAGAACCTAGCATAGGGATTTGGGCCACTCAATCCGGGAAGAATGTAAAAAACGGCTCTTTACAGCCAAGATTCCCGATTTCGGAGACTCTTTTTGCCAATGTAACTGCCACCAGAAAGGCCGCTTGATGGAGAGCTCCCTCACTATGGGTGATTCTGGCACGCCTCCAGAGAGGAAGTCGAGGACAAGTGGCAGATCCCATTTTGGGAACCTCGGTTTCCTCTGGGGCCTCAACCTTACTGCTCCTTTGAAGAATTGCCAAACCAGAGAGTGGTCAGCCCATGATACTCCAGTGAAAGCCGAGATGGCTGACACTTAAACCCTGAGGGTGTTAACCAACAGAGGCAGGTCCAGGCCTGACTGCAGGAATCCCAGGACATCCTGAACCCTCGGATTACTAAAAGATCCATCCACGGTCGAGATATAGTCCACGAACTTAGACCAGACTCTTCCATAGTCCCTGTTGGTACTCGGTCTTCTGGCATTCATCAGGGTAGGGATGACTTCAGGGATAGGGATGACGTTTGAAAACACCCGAGTTGACGTCGAAAGCCTAAAGGGGAGACACGAACTGGAGATGCTGATGGTCCACAGCGAACTGGAGAAATGTCTGAAAATCTCTTGCAATGGGCACATGAAAGTAGGTGTCCTTCGGAACTATAGACAAGAGCCAGTTGCCTGGTTGAATTGCTTGTTGAATTGTGAACAGTGTCTCCATCTTGAATTTTGACTTCCTGATAAAGGAATTTAGATGGGTGAGGTCTATAACTGGCCTCCAGGCCCTGTTTCTCTTCTGGACCAAATAGAGGGGCGAGCACATGCCCTGCAATTCTTCATCCTCTGGAACCGGCATGACAGCACCCTGCGCCAGCAGAGAGTCCACATAGGACAGCAAGATTTACCTCCTTTCTTCAGAATGTTGAAGGGCTGTAGGGGTGAACCTGAGATGAGGAGAGCTCTTGAACGCCCAAGCATGCTCTAAAGATATCGTGTTGACGGCCCAGTTGTCCCGGAATGAAGCTGCCCAGACATGCCGAAAATGGCGAAGGCATGCCCCCACCTGGCCCAATCTCAAATGGACTTTGTGGCCTCACAACCTCCAGATGTTGAGCCCTTGGAGGTTTTCTGAAAAGATGATCGGCTTCTCCTCCAGCTTCTCTTGAATTCACGGCCCGGCTTTTGGAGGCATTAGTCCCTAGCTCGTTCTGAGCCTTGACTTCTGGGCTGAGCCCTCTTCTGGCCTAGCAGACACCAATCCTGGGGCAGGAAACTGGACCTCTCGCCTGTAGCCTGGGCTATAGCGTTGTCCAGTTTGTTCCCAAACAGGGAGGAACCCTCAAAGGGGATCTTGCACCATGCCTGGTAAGAGGCTGGATCAGCCAACCAGGGTCGAAGCCACAACACACACGCTTGGCTGTCACCAAGGACAGTATAACCCAAGCCAGCAGATGCCAACCTCAGCTCCCAGCAAAAAAGAGACCCAAATTGGGCAAGGGCACTACTTACCAACCCCGCACAGCCACCTGCCTTGGAGACCGCCTCATCCATTTGGGGTGCTACATGGCCACCCACTATTAGCAGTTTATCTGGCCCAAGTGTCGCTCGCCCGCCAGTAGCAGACCTGAGCTCTTCCAGGCATAGACTCTTGCTTTCCCATTTCCACCCCGCTATTTGCTGGGGAATGCTGGAATTTGATGAGGGGACTCCTGCTCTTCCACTCCCAGCACTGCATCCATCCACCTCATCCAGTACCCCACCTTTAGCTGCGGACCCTCGGAACTGACAAGCGTCGCGTCACCTCGCATCTTCCGCAAAGGCTCGCCGGGCCTTTGTCACGGACCATCTTGTATGAGGTAACCAGGTAAGACTTGCACTAGGTCCATAGGAGGAGGACAAAAAAGGAACACGGCCTCTGGCGAGAAGAAAAGATTTTTGGGAGTGGGGTCCTATAGGAGAAGAATATGCTGCTATGGAGTCTTTCAGCAAAATTATTTTCCCCACTGTAGATATCCAGCATATTTTTCCCCACTGAGATCTGATGTGTTTTCAAAGTGTTCCTTTAATTTTTTTGAGCAGTGTACAAAGCAGCATATCCTTGCTGACTGGAGAGAGACCTGTGTTGTTTACACACTGGTCTCTCCCCTGTCAGCTCTACCGACGATCACTGGGTCCCGGCTGAGAATTGCCGGGCGGGACCCAGTGATTGACATGTCTAGTAGCCAATAACGACGCAGATAGGGTGGTGCACGCGTCCCCTAACCGGAAATGCAAATCATATATATATGTGTGCTTTTGCGCAGCCCTGCTGCCCTGTAGCGTTACTTTTGCTATAAGGTGGCGGGAAAGCGGTTAATATAAATCAGTATTAAATCTATCACATGCAATTGCTAATACCTGTAAAAAAGGAGCTTTGGATGCAGATGTCTGAAAAAAGTGAAAACTAGTATCAATCATCTTTAACTCCACCTACACCATATCAATGCACAAAAAATACATATTTGATGTTCAATAGAGATTTAAAGGGAGCTGTAACACTGCATAATTTAAACTGAATTGCTCTTCTGAAACTGTGTTGTTTTTAGTTAAGTGACCAGCACAGCACTAATCAGGGCTATGCAGACACAGACTCATACAGAGCATGCATCAGAGTAATAGAAGACTCTCCCAATGATCTTTCCCCACAAATACCAAAGAGCAGGGCAAGATCATGTGACCACAAATAGCACTGCAATAATAAGTTACTTAGAGGCAGGGGCGGACTGACAACTCATGGGGCCCCCGGGCAATAGGGGATCATGGGGCCCCTGTGTCCTTGCCCAAACTCAAAAAAGGCCTATGAAAAAGGTACCAGGGGCATCTCATGGGGCCCCCTGCTGACCCCGGGCCCTCGGGCAGTGCCCGAGTTTCCAAATGGTCAGTCCGCCCCTGCTTAGAGGATTAAAACAAAACAGTGGCATGATATGTATGCTTTATGTGAATGAATTATGACACACTTCTCTGTTTAGTATCACTTTAAGCCTAGGTTTACACTATGAATTGCACAGGAATGTGTGCCGCAGTCCTGTGCAATTCACATGCGATTCAGCTCAGTGTGATGTGAGTCCATTCAGAAAGAATAGACTCAAATTGCAGAGCATTGCAACAAAGTAGTGCATGCATGAGTTTTAGAAACACACACCGCAACCGGATCGCATAGTCATTTTGTAGCATGCAATCCATAATGACTTTGCGATCTGAGTCTGGGGCGTCACTAACATTGCACTAACGCCAGTTGCAGATCGCAAGGCAGTGCAATCTGAATGAGGCGCGGTGTCCACGAATTGTACACGGATCGCGAGTTAGATAATGTAATGTGTGACAATTTACACATAATAAAAACATCACAATAATTATTTCTGACTTCTGCACAAATCCTGAGACATTTGCAAAGCAATTAAAAAAAAATAAACCCCACAGACTTTACTAAATGAGAGGAAGCCCGAGGACGACTGATTTGCATTTAAAATACAGATTTTAACCTCTTCATGCTGGCAGTGCACAAATATGGCATTATTAGCGGCTGGGCCTTCACATCGAGCAGCCTCATACTTGCGCACCATTTGTAAACAAACATGTGCTGAGAGCAGGAAGCGCCCTACACGCTCCCAGCACATGTGTTGGCGTCCCACGGAATGGTCCCGATCTCTCCTTGTGATCAGGACCTTTTCGATCATGTGACTGCTGTGACAGCCACACATGACTCTAAACTCCGCCTCCCGGTGTCAGAAACCCCTTAAAGGGCCAGGAGGTGCCAGCGAGAAGGGGTTAAAGAGTCCTGAACATAAGTTTCAAATGTAACCTCTAAAATGCCCAACCAGTACCAGACCTACTTTTGGGCTGTTCGTAACAATAAATAGGAAAGGTAAGAAATTGATCAAACATTGACATAAGACAAATTTAGTCTGTGCAGCAAAAGGCAGATAATATTATGTTTTCAATCGATATTCGCTAGAGAGTGGTCTATATTTAAGTTAGAGGTAGAAGGCTTGTTAGGAAGTACAGAGCAGTTGACCAAAGGCCTAAGACAGTTTCAGTAGGTGTGCAGACATTTACCCCACCATTATAATGTGGGTGGATGGAATATAATAAAGCACAACTAGGTAGAGTGGAGAGGGATCACAACACTTGTCAGATTCGTATTACTGTCGGCTCCCATTAAAGAGACTGACCCTCTCTATTTGTCCTGTTTACTGTTATCACTGAGGGTAAAAGTGAAAGAAAATTCCAAATTTCAGGAAGTCCCCAGAACAGAAATAGAGGGGACATTTTCCATTGGGGACACTAGTTAAGGAAAAATTTGCTCACACCTTCCGATATGACTATGGGACAGGAAAGAAGACTGACAGGGGTTATAACACTCTCTTAAGCTAGGTTCAAATATATGCTGGTCACGGTTGATGCATTTGCTGGAGCATTTTGTGCTGTGTTTTGTGTTTTTGAATATGCTTTTTTTGATGGGTTTTGTAGGTTTTTTTTAGCTAATCGGAAAGTATGACAGTTCTGGTCATGTAGCATGACTTTGATTCAACTTTACACTCTCTGGCACTCAAATAGCATCAAAATCACACAAGCAGTGCAGGAACCTTTATGTGTCCAAAGTTGCATGTTGAGGTTAGGGTAAATGTTAGGGTTAGGGTTAAGGTCTATTCACTATATCTGGTCTCTCACAGTACACAGAACATGGAAAAGCAATTATTTTAGTAAATATAAACTGCTAAATACCTTTTCTGATCAGCAGTTAGAGCAGTCTTGTGACTTCTATCAGTGTTCAGCAGAGCACTGGTTAAAGCTTGTAGGAGGGTTTTCTTTCTGCTCTAGGAGGATGCAGAACTCATTGACCTCTGTCTGGACAGTGCTGATTGGCCCTGTGCTGATCCATGGAAAAAAACCTCTATACAAACCAAACTGAGCATGTGACAAGCGACTGCACATGATATGTCTTATCAGGAGATAAGAGGGGGGCACTGGAAGAAGGGGAGGATCAGAGAAGACAGGATCAAACAGTCTTTTTACACAATGCAGAGGATTAACCCCTTAGGTTCCACAGTGAATTTAACAAGCATGTTTTACTGCATATACAGTTTGATTTTACTGTTGTGGGTTTCGTAACACTTTAAATGTTACGGTTAAAGTGGTAGTAAACTGCAAAAAATAAAACAGAAAAATATTCTCCCTGGAAGTTAAAGCAATTCTAATGGTTCATTTTTTTTTTTTGTAAAAAAAATTCTCAAGGGAGCACTGTCATGCATGGCCGGATCTAGGTGGGTGCTGGGGTGTGCTATGCCACCCCAGATTTTGGTTGTGCCTCCCCAAAGCCAACCCTAACCTGCCACTATACTGCCCTAACCTGCCACTATACTATCCTAACCTGCCCTAAATTGACACAATACTACCATAATCTGATACTTTACCGCCCTAGTTTGACACCATAATGCCCTAGCCTGACACTATACTGTCCATGACTGACCCTATACTGATCTCAGTATGCATTGTGTGGGGAGGAGGAGCTCTGCTGCCTGTACCCAGGCTGTGTGCAGTGCAGGGATGGGAGAAGGAGCTGTGCTCCTGTCCTCTGCCCTGCCAGCCGTGACCCCTGTCCTCTGCTCCCTGAAATTTTTTACTGCAGCCCCACAGGCTAGATCCGGCCCTGCTGTCACAGCTTCCCGGGGCTTTCATCTTCACCTGACCTTCTTTCCAGGTTCGCAGGCTGCGGCCGTTTGACTGGCCGAGCCTCTATGATGTCCCTACCATGCTTGATCGCTGGAATTTCGATCACGGCTCTCTGAATGGATGGCATGCTGTCCATTAAGAGTGCAGTGCGCATGTGCTAGTAACATCGCTGACGCTGCTACAGTAAATATCTTCTAAACGGTGCACATTTAGGATATATTTACTGTACCTACAGGTTAGCCGTATTATAGGTTTACCTGTAGGTATGAATAAACAAACAAAACTTTACTACCACTTTAAGGGCTACCCTTAACCCTAACCCTAGCCCTTAACCCTAACATTTAACCCTAACCCTAGCCCTTAACCCCTTACTAACATTTAAGCCTAGCCCTAGCCCTTAACCCTAACATCTAAGCCTAACCCTAGCCCTAACCCAAATATTTAACCCTAGCCCTTACCCTAACATTTAAGCCTAGCCCTTAACCCTAACCCTAACATTTAAGCCTAACCCTAGTCCTTAACCCTAACCCTAACATTTAAGCCTAACCCTAGCCCTTAAAACTAACATTTAAGCTTAACCCTAGCCCTTAACCCTAACCAGGGGCGGACTGACCATTTGGAAACTCGGGCACTGCCCGTGGGCTGGGGTCAGTAGGGGGCCCCATGAGATGCCCCTGGTAACTTTTTCATAGACTTTTTTGAGTTTGGGCAAGGACACAGGGGCCCCATAATCCCCTATTGCCCGGGGGCCCCATGAGTTGTCAGTCCGCCCCTGACCCTAACCATAACATTTAAACCTAACCGTAGCCCATAACCCTAACGTGCGACTTTGGACATATAAAGGTTCCTGGATGCTACTTGAGTGCCAGAGAGTGTAAAGTTGCATCAAAGTGGCACTACATGAACAGATCTGTCATAATATCCTATTAGCAGAACAAAAAAACACAAAGCGCATAAAAACAAATTATTTGCATTTTTGGTGTGGGTCCATTAAAGTCTATTACACGCAAAATGCAATTTGCTATGGGAAACCCTTTCCAAAAAACACACTGGCTGAAAACACACAGATGTGAACTAGATGTGAACTAGATCCATAGGAAACCACGTTCAATGGACTGTAGTGTGTTTCTGCAAACTGGGAAACACACTGAAGTCCGCATAAGTGTGAACCTAGGGTTATTCTATCCAAAATAAAATAAAATTGTCTTTCGTTCTACTGTAAGACTAATTTTTTAATCACTCTTAATTTTACTATGTAGATTTTTTCAATGGCTTGACCTGTATACGTTCCTTGTTAAACTCCATGGCTTTGGTTATTGAAGGAGACTTCTAAAAGAGCTGAGTGAACCTGAGTGAACTTTCCATGTCATTGAATGATTGAAGATAATATAGCGTCACTGAGCTAAGTAAAAAAAAATGTACTCTTTTAGGTAATCAATGTTATAACTCTTTCCAAACATCAAGCTTTGATGTGGATCATGTGGTCTCAGCAAACATTAGTTCAGGGAGGCTTTGCAGATTTTTGGTTAAAAAATGGTGGGATTCTTAGCCATAATGTTTTGAATTTTAAAGTTGACACTACTTTGCTGTAATCATCGAGATCAAAGTAAAGTGTCAAATCATGGAACATTTTAAGGGGTAAAACACACACTAAGCTAAGGAGACTCTGCCTTGTCTTATGCTTCAGTCTAATTTTTGCTGCTATTTCTAAGTTAGTCAATTACCTGTATACATGATTTCCTTAAAAGGTTTACTCTATTCATCCTTGCAGGCCAGGAACTAGGGGAGTACTGGGGTGTGCTATGCACCCCCAGATTTTACTTGTGCCCCCCTAGATCTCTAAGAGTGTATCCAACTACGGTTGCCACTTCATCCCTTTAAAACCAAACACATATTAATTACACAGGTTCTGTGGCTGATTTAATGCAGCTAAGGTACTTGTTGAGTTCAATTACCACCTTAATCAACCACAGAACCTGTGTCATTAATATGTATTCGGATTTAAAGAGATGAGGTGGCAACCCTATATCCAACTGATTCATAAAATTTGATAGGGACAGTTGATGTAAGGGGGCACTCTGATGGGGAGAGTTGATGTAAGTAGACATTCTGATTGGGACAATTGATGTAAGGAGGCACTCTGATTGGGACAATTGATGTAAGGAGGCACTCTGATTGGGACAGTTGATGTAAGTAGACATTCTGATTGGGACAATTGATGTAAGGAGGCACTCTGATTGGGACAATTGATGTAAGGAGGCACTCTGATTGGGACAGTTGATGTAAGGGGGCACTCTGATTGGGACAGTTGATGTAAGTAGACATTCTGATTGGGACAATTGATGTAAGGAGGCACTCTGATTGGGACAATTGATGTAAGGAGGCACTCTGATTGGGACAGTTGAATGTAAGGGGGCACTCTGATTGGGACAGTTGATGTAAGGACACATTCTGATTGGGACAATTGATGTATATCATACATCAATTGTCCCAATCAGAATGTGTCCTTACATCAACTGTCCCAATCAGAATGTGTCCCCTTACATCAACTGTCCCAATCAGAGTGCACTCTGATTGGGACAGTTGATGTAAGGGGGCACTCTGATGGGGACAGTTGATGTAAGTAGATATTCTGATTGGGACAATTGATGTAAGGAGGCACTCTGATTGGGACAATTGATGTAAGGAGGCACTCTGATAAGGGACAATTGATGTAAGGAGGCACTCTGATTGGGACAGTTGATGTAAGGACACATTCTGATTGGGACAATTGATGTATATGGAGGCACTCTGATTGGGACAGTTGATGTAAGGGGGGCACTCTGATGGGGACAGTTGATGTAAGGAGGCATCCTGATGAGGCGGACCTGATCGAAATGTTCGTGTGAAATAGCCCTAACTTTCACACAGACCAAAGAGTATACACTTATTTGGGTTATTTTTTACCAAAGAAATGTAGCAGTATAAATTTTGGTCAAAATTTATGAAGAAAACATACTTATTTACAACATTTTATAACAAAAACGAAGAAAAAAATCTTTTTTTTTTCTAATTGTTCTATTTTTTTTTGTCTATTTAGTGAAAAATAAAAAAAACAAGTGGTGATTAAATACCACCAAAAGAAAGCACTATTTGTGAAAAAAAAGATAAAAATTTCACATGGGTACCGTGTTGCATGACTAATTGTCATTCAACATGTGAGAGCTCTGAAAGATGAAAATTGACCGATCCGCCAAAAAGGGAGGGATGGGGATCCAATTCCACTTCCATCCGTCGGATTGGATGAAAACGGACAGGCGGTCCGTAGTCGTCCAACCGTCCATTGAGGAGAGCATGCAGCTCTGTGTCTGCTCTGCAGCAGTGGAGGGGACACAGAGCTGTCATCCGCTTGCTCAGCAGGGATCAGTGGAGAGATCCCCCACTGAGCAAGCAGATTCGCCAACTGGGTCCGTCCCGCGTGAAAGAGCCCTTATTGAGTCTACAGGCTATGGCATGTATCATTGCAAATTGATCACACCTGAAGCACTGACTGCCTATCTTATTTCTTGAAGCCCTAACATGCCAGGATATTACATATACCCCCTCCCCCCCCCCCCCATGACCCCTTTTTGGAAAACAGTCTGGTGTTTAGTAAGAGGCTTGGTGAGTTTGAAGTTGTAGTTTTTTCCCACAATTCTTTGGAAAATTAAGAAATTAACCACTTGCCCTCTGACAGATTTACCCCTTTCCTGACCAGGCCATTCTTTGCTATTTGGCGCTCCGCTATTTCAACTAATAATTGCACGGTCATGCAATGCTGTACCCAAACAAAATTTATGTTTTTTTCACACAAATACCGTATTTTTCGGACTATAAGGCGCACCGGATTATAAGACGCAGTATTAGTGAACGGATCTATTTTCATATATAAGACGCACCGGATTATAAGGCGCATAAAGCGAAACAAAATAGTCGGATAAGTCAGACTTTATTCAAATCATTAACAATACCTGTCAATATTACACAATAGATCCAGTCAGACCACAATATTACACAATATTAAAGCGAAACAAAATAGCCGGATAGGTCAGATATTACACAAAAGAGTATGCTCACTTTTTCAATCATTCCTATTCTACGAATCCATCAAATTCCTCGTCTTCGGTGTCGGAATTTAACAGTTGGGCGATAGCTGCATCAAGCAAGCCCGGATCCCTCTCGTCATCATCCGATTCAGTCTCATTGCTGTTGCTTGGCTGTTCATTGATGATTCCGGCCTTCGTGAAAGCTCGGACGACAGTTGAAACCGATACCTTAGCCCAGGCATCGACGATCCATTGGCAGATAGTGGCATAACTAGCCCGGCATTGCCTGCCTGTGTTGGTAAATGTGTGCTCACCTTCTGTCATCCATTGCTCCCATGCGGCTCGCAATTTAGCCTTGAACGCCCTGTTGACACCAATATCTAGTGGTTGGAGTTCTTTGGTCAATCCTCCAGGAATGATGGCAAGCTCCGAATTGGTTTTCTTCACTTGGCTTTTGACAGTGTCAGTGAGATGAGCGCACATAGAGTCGTAGATCAATAAGGCCGGAGACTTGTGGAAGAAGCCATCTGGTCTCCTGACGTAAACTTCTCTCAGCCACTCACTCATTTTCTCTCCTCGTCCATCCAGCCTTTTGGATTGACCTTGACGATGATCCCAAGAGGAAACGTTTCCTTTGGCAAAGTCTTCCTCTTAAAAATGACCATGGGTGGTAGTTTCTGGCCATTAGCCTGGCAACCGAACTACAGTGAAGGATGATTTCTCATTCCCTGTGGTGCGTATAGATACAGTAGACGTCCCTGTTTTTTCTACAGTACGGTTCGCGGGGATGTCAAAGGTGAGAGGGATCTCGTCCATGTTTGTGATGTGGTCTGACTGGATCTTCTTTTCGATGATCTTGTCCTTGCAGTAAGTGCGGAAGATGGCCATCCTTTCTTCATAATCCTTTGGCAGTTGCTGCGAAGTGGTAGTTCTTGTGCGGATGGAGAGATGACGCCTTTTCATAAAACGGAAGCACCAAGAAGGACCTCCTTGAAATTCGTTGATCTTCATATCTCGTGCCATCGCTGTTGCCTTAAGTCGAATGGAGACTGTAGAGACGCTTCTACTACTGCTGTGTTCTATGTTCAATAATCCACTGCTCAATTTTGTCCTCTAATTGTGGCCATCTTGCCTTGTTCCCTCGGAAACTCTTCTTCGTCTTCTTTACTTGACGCAGGTCATCTTCTTGTTTCCTCCACTTCCTACCATTGATTCATTAATGTTGAATTTTTTTCGCTGCTGCTCTATTCCCATGTTGTACTGCTTGGCTGATGGCCTTGAGTTTGAAATCCGCGTCGTAAGCATGTCTCTTAACAGGTGCCATTTTGGGGTCCTTAATTACCGGATTTGGAAGCACAGTACATATCAGGAAATGTAGTTTTCGAATAAGCAAGGGGAGTGGCTTCGTCGCTTACCGAAGTCATAATAAAACATTTTGACAGATTCTTCAGCACAGTGTGAACATACACTGTTCATACATAAGGCGCATCGGAATATAAGGCGCATTGCCGATTTTTGTACAAATATAGATATTTTATGTGCGCCTTATAGTCCGAAAAATACGGTAGAGCTTTCTTTCGGTATATTTTATCACCGCTG